TCGAAGCGACCACCACGCCTCAACCGGGCGCCGCCATGTTGGGAGGGTGCGTCGCTCGCGAACGGGCAGGCGTGACGTGAGGGGCGCGCAGTGACGTCTCCCAGCATGCCCCGCGGGAGCGCCACCCCGCGCGCGAGGTCTCATGGGCAATGTAGTCCGTGCGGGCGTCACGCCCCTTGACCAGCCTGGCGGCTCTTTCAGTCAAGTCATCCAAGCTTTATGTTTGTTGTTTGCCATCCACATCAGCTGCACTGGAGTTTTACAAGGTCTCGAGACCTTTTCTTTGATCGTGGCTGGTTCCCAAGTTAGGTCCCCGAATGGCGCAACGGTTTGCACGCGAACCCTGGTGGCGCAGTGGTTACTTGGGATGCTCACCCCGAGATGGCAGCAGTTCGAACCCAAGACCTGCTCCGCAGGAGAAAGACGGGGCTTAGAACCCCGTTGAGAATTACGGCCTCGGAAACCCTTAGCGGGCAGTCTACCCCGCTCTAGAGGGTCACCGTGAGTCGCCATCAACTCGGGGGAGGTGAGTTTGTTTGTCTTTGGCTAACCTAGAGCTTGGAGCTTCAAAGCCACCCGAAGGGGCCTGGGAAGAAAGGCCTAAGGATCCGCTTCCGTTGAAATCGCAGGAAGCCCAAAAGGACGCTCTGGAGCAGTTCCACCGGGTATCACACCGGGTGGTGAGCAGTCTGCTGCTTGGTAGTTCGCGTGGATCGGGTCCTTCCACAGAAGCTGTGTCTGCAGATTTGCACGGAATTTCAGCCAGTCATCGAGAGACGAGACAAGAACCCAAACAGGTAATGCCTGTACGACAACAAGAGCCGGTTGGGATGGAGACGGTGATGCATCTGAAGTGAGCTCCGGGGCCCTGGGTCTGGCACGGTCTAGCGGAGGCCAGAATCTCCGGAAGCTGGTCAGATCCAAAACGGAGATGAGAGGCAGAGCAGACAGACATGTCGCTGAGGTGTCCGCAGTGCCCTAGGAAGGAGCCATGCACTGCTTTTTATTTCTCCATTCATTCACTGACTTCACAAATACCTAGTAACTATTTCCTAAGCCCTGGTGGTATAGTGGTAATGGACCGGGCTCACTGCTAATTTGCTAACCTCAAGGTCAGTAGTTCGAAACCAACAGCCATTCTGCAGGAGCAAGGTGAAGCTTTTACTCTCATACAGAGTGACAGTCTCCGAAACCCAGAGGGTCAGTTCTACCCTGTCCTGTAGGGTCACTATGGGTCAGAATCAATTCATGCCAGTGAGTTTGGCTTTGGAGGCATAGACCCGGATGCCAGAGAGATGATCTCGACTGAGTGACAAGGGCCCTCCATGAAGCCCCCTCTGGAGTGGAGGCAACTAGCCAAACAAGCTGGATAAGTACACATTGTGAAACGGGAGCTGAGGGACTTTGTAGTTGTTTCTAGGATTACCCTCGGCCTAGACTTAGGAGAGAACAAATCAAGGATTAAGGCACACGGAGAGCCATAGGTAGAACTTTCCAGGCAGGGGTGGAACAGCAAATACAAAGATTCTAAGGTAGGAAAGAAACTGGCCTATTCCAAGCACAGGGTGCGGGGGAGGGCTGGAGTCGAGGAGCAAAGGGGAGGGAGGAGGAGTCGAGGAGCTGGGTGGGAGCTGGAATCAAGCAGGCCTTTAGGTGAAGGCAAGGAGTGAAGGTCCAATTTCAGTGCAATGGGAAATCGTTCAATGGTGTTAAGCAAAAGGTGGCCTGGAGGTTTGACAGTGATCCCTCTGGCCAGAGTGTGTGAGGCAAGACTGAAAGCAGAAAGACAGGCTAGGAGTCTCTCACAGAAGTCAAGGTAGAAGAGGGTGGTGCTTGGGGAATGGGTGGCATGGTGGTGATGCAGGTGCAGAGAAGGGGCAGCTTGGAGCTCGACTTTGGAGATAGGACAGGGCTTGGTGCTGGGTGTGTGCTGGCTTTGTAATCTGTCACTGGGTGTGGCAGTTACATCATCTCCTGTCAAATTGAGTGAAGGGGGGAGTCTAGTTTGTCAATCAGGTCATAGCCAATGAGATCTCTGTGTGGGCATCACCTTCTCCGGAGGATTCTGGGAACTCCTGTCTTCCTCCCTGGAGGTGGGACACATACTCCCTGGCTTGACATTCCCGTGGACAAGCCACATGGAGCTATGCTGATGGAGCCAGGGCCCTGGAGCTGGAGGAGCCACAAGGAGACCCGCACCGGCGCTGAGAAGCCAAACCGCCACTGGATCCCCAAGACTTTCCACCCACTGGCCTGTGATCTTCCTGCATTCGGCATCATTGCATGTGTTTCATGAGTCTGAAGAGGACTTTATAGATTGGTATTGGACATAAGGGCTAATATCAGACTTATGGACTTGATCTGGACTGGGCTGGGATGTTTTCTCAATATTCCACTACTCTTGCATGTAAAACTCTTTCTTCTTCTCATATACGTGTCTCTGGATTTGTTTCTCTAGTCTACCTGGACTAGCACACATCCTTTACACCTAGTTTCCCCGATAACCTAACCAAGATCACTGCCGTCAAGTCGGTGACTCCAACTCAGGACGCCCTTCCAGGACGGGAGAACTGCCCTCGGAGAGCTTCATGGGATGTATGTAGTAATTCTTTCTGGGATTGGAAAGTTCTGTCTTTCTCCCAGTTTCCCCTAATAGGTGACACATTATGTTCCCTTTGCCACAAAGGATGAGTTCATATTTTCAGTGAACCTTTGTCCACTGCCTAGTAACCACTTGACTTCCAAGGATGAAGCTGTCTTAGACCATTAGTAAGACTTAGGGCCCTGGGTTGGAATTCAGAGCCCCTCGCTCAAGGTTCCTCAGTCTTAGCTGGCTTGCACCACTTCCCTTAGCAGTACATCTACTGGCCTCACCCAAACAGTATCAGAACACCTGCATAACGTCATTCCGTGCAGTGCAACTCATGTTTCGGGGTGGGGGTGGGGTGGGGTCTCCCTGTGAAGTATAGCAGGAACTGTGGGAGGCGAGTGCGAGCAGGAGGAATATTGCCTCTCAGAGTGTTCTGTAGCGCAGGACCTAGCTACACCCTTCCTGAGCGTGGGTCCCAGGCTGGTGGGGCCCTTGCACAGCAGTGGTCCAAACAGATGGCTGGTGCTGCTCGGACTCATAACGATCCCATGAAGGAGACCCTGCCCGTTCCTGTGCCACCCTCACCACCATTGTTATCTTTGAGTCCATTGATGCAGCCACTGTGTCCACCTGCTTAACCAGGCGTGGCAGCTTCCCGGGACGGATCCCTCCTGAGAACCTGTCAAAAGTATCTGAGACCAAGCTACACCGCGCTTGCTTTCAAGGAACCTTCTCGCCTTATTTCTTTCAACATCCAACTCACTGCCACTGTGTCAATGCTGACTCATAGAGAGCCCCCGTGGTTGTCCGAGACTGTCACTGTTGATGGGAGGCGAGAGGCCAGTCTTCCCCAGTTTTGAACTGCTGACCTGGGGATCGCAGCCCATGAAGTCACCACCAGGGCTCCATCACAGACGTGTTCACCCTTCTGGCAGTCCGTGACACTGGCCACATTCTTTATAAACACCCTAACTGTGCTTTAGTCTTCCTGATGCGTTGTCCAACTTTCACATGCATACCAGGCGATTGAACCCACTGTGGCTTGGGTCAGGTGCACCGCAGTCCTCAAAGTGGCATTTTGGTTCTTTGGAGGTTGACTCAGCTTGACCTTTTCTTGTTCTGCATCTTTGGGACATTAAAGGACAGTCACATCAACTCATGGTGCAGTAACTCATGATGTCATACCCCCTAACCACGTCTGGCAGCAAAATCCAGTGTAGATTATGTCTCCTTGCACCTCGGTAGGAAAGTCATTGGCAAAGGATTCCTTCGTAATTTTGTTCCTAAAGCTCATGTTGTTTTCTGACCACAATCCCTGTCAAAGACAAAAATCTACTCTTCTTAGAGAAGCATACAGGAGTTATGAAATCTTACCTCCACATCCATTATTGCCTCATGACAAAATCATTGGCAGTGAAGTCACATGGCTGCGTGCATGAAGGAGCACACCCTCATTTGGGGCAGAGTTTG